AAAAAAAAAAAAAAAAAAGATTTGTCCATGTCTGGTTGTGTGCATGTGAATATAGGTGCCTGAAGAGGCATCAGATTCCTGCACCTGAAGTCTCAGGTAGTTATGAGCTACTGACATGGGTGCTAGGACCTGAACTCAGGTACTGTGGAAGAACAACTACTGAGACGTCTTTCCAGCCCCTAGATCCTTGCTTGGTTTGTAACACAAGCTGCCTTTGAAATTCTAATCAAGACAAGCTCTCTTATAAGTTGCATCCCAGCCAGGCAGTGGTGGTGCACGCCTTTAATCCCGGCACTTGGGAGGGAGAGGCAGGCGGATTTCTGAGTTCGAGGCCAGCCTGGTCTACAGAGTGAGTTCCAGGACAGCCAGGGCTACACAGAGAAACCCTGTCTCGAAAAACCAAAAAAAAAAAAAAAAAAAAATTGCATCCCCTCAAACTCCCCCACACAAGAGCTGTGTGTGTGTGTGTGTGTGTGTGTGTGTGTGTGTGTGTGTATGAGGAAGAAGAGAGAGCTTTAAGGCAGGTTCTCATATAGTTCAGGCTGGCTTTAAATTTTAATATATATCTAGCTAAGACTGACTTTGGTCTCCAGCTCTTCCTTCCTCTACCTTGCAAGTGCTGGAATTACAGGTGTAACTCATCACCAAACTTGGCATCAAAAGTAAATGCTTAGGTGGTTGTGATTTTTCACTTCCAAAATCTAAGTTATAGATTACCTCCCCTCAGAAATATTTTTTTTAAAACATCAGAGCTGGCCAGGCATGGGGGTGCAAAACAAGAACACCATGGTCTATATAGTGAGTTGTGAGACAGCCAGGGCTACATAGGGAAACCCTAGCTAATGAATATGAATGAATGAATGAATGAATGAATGAATGAATGGGTGCTAAGAACTTGAATTCAGGTCCTTATTTTTACATCAAGTACTCTTACCCACTGAACTGCCTACCCAGCACAGTAGCAGAGATTTAATGGAGAAAGAACGGGCTGGATAAACTTGTAAAAAGGGAAAACAAACAGGCAAGTACAACAGCACATGTCTGCATCCTAGCTATTTGGGAACTAAAGGAACTACTTCCGCCCAGAGGCTAGACAAGGACACAACAGACCCTGTCTATCTTCATCTCTCACATGATAGTTTATACAGTCTTTGCTAAGCCAAGTTTTCCTTATATATGATCCATTTGTGGGCACCAAGATCTCTAAGAGGAAATTTTGGGGGATTTGAAGAAAGTTCTCAAAACTACAAAGTTAAGGTTGGTATTGTGGGGTGACCAAGAGGTAGAGAAGTTAGAGCGCTGTGTGTTCAAGTACAACCAAGTACATGTTGAGTTCCAGGCTACCCAGAATTATACAGTAAGACCTTGTTTCAAAAATATCAACAATACCAAAAACACTACAATTCTGCCAGGTATGGGTGATACATACCTGGAATTCTAGTACTCAGGAGTAAAGGAACTTATTCTCAGAAAGAACAGACTTACATGTAAAACCAGACTGAGCCAGAGATACAGAGCAAAGCTACTATCTCAAAAAACAAGCAAGCCAAAAAAAAAAAAAAAAAAAAAAAAAAAAAAAAAAAAA